GGGGGGGGGGGGATACCGTGCGGGAAGGAACAGCCATGCTGGAGGGAGCAGGAATTTCTTGAAGACGCAGAAAGGTTAGGAGCACAGGGGGGATCTTCGTGCAAAACGGATGGACAGATGGCCCAGAAGGATTGGGAAGAGAGAGAGGAGGGAGGATGTGAGCAAGGAAGTGTGGAAGGATGATGAGCAAGAAGGGAGCGTGCATAGGGTCTCCTCTCGCCAGAAAGAGAAAAGAGCGTGAGGGGAGAGAGAACAGGCAGAGTGGAAATCTCTGCAGAGCTGTTCCTTCACAGGACAAAAAATAAAGGTGCGGAAAGAGAAACGATAACGTGGCCCAAGAGCGTGTGGAATGAGACGAGTGTGCAAAAGGGAAGAGGTGGTAACATTCCACCAAGGGAGATGGAGAAGTCACCCGGGAGCTGACAAGAACAAGCAGAAATTCAAGAACGAGTGTGCAGCAAAGCCACGGTGTGCAAGAACATGGTTAAGGGAAAGAAAACGGCTTCAAGAGAGCTGGGGAGGACGTGTGTGCAAGAGAGTGTGCAAGAGGGTTCACAAGAGTCGAGAATGGAGCTGACGAAGATTTGGAAAAGAAGGGTACAAGGGAGTGGGAGCTGGCAAAGGGGAGAGCGGCAGTATTTGAGTGAGAAACGGTTCCTGGGAGGTAGGTGTGCAAGATGTGCGATAAGTGACAGTGCGAGAGGGGGCGGGGCAAGGAGGGGCGTGGGACTGTCACCGAGAGGGAGGGGGGGTAGAGTAAGAATGTGGAGGTCAAGGATAAGAAGGGAAAGTGCTTAAAGACGGAAGCAAGAGTGTGAGAGAGGGGTGCGGGGCAGCAAGTGTACAAGGGCTGGAGAAAGAGAAGCGTGTTGCAGAGAATAAATACGTGTGCACAGAGTCCGTGAGTGGGTGAGGGAAGGGGTGTCCCAAGTGTGTCTGCACCAAGGGTCCAGAGATTTTCAGAAGTGAGGTGTGTCATGGAAGGCGCCAAGGAATGAGTGTGCAAGCAAGAGTTTGAGACAGCAAGAGCCTGGAGTGTGGGCAGAGAAATGCAATGCGTACGAGAGAAACAGCGTGTCAGAGCTGAGAGGGCCTCCCGACCTGGAAGCGAAGGCCGAGTGTGCAAGACAGCCAGAGGGCAAATTTGTGCAAAATTGTAGCCCGGGGGGGAGAGAGGCGAGCAGGCGTGCAAAGGAGCGTGCAAGAGGCGAGGGGCTGCTGTGTGTGCTGGGGAGAGGGGAAGGCGGGAGAGCGAGGGGCCTGGAGAGGGGGGAAAGGTTGTCGAGGGGCGGCACATGGTGGAATCTGAGGGTACCCCCTTCCCCTGCGGCCTGGGGAACGACCCCCATCCACTCAGGCTCAGGGCTGACCCTCTATGGCTCTGGCTGTCCCCCCTCCCCAGAATCGACCCTTCCCTCCTTCGCCATCCCTCTCTGTGACTTCTTCCATCCCCCCCTCCGCTCCCCGCTTCACACACACACAATCTGGTGTCAGCTGCCCCCTCCTGTGAGGTGCAAATGTCTGGCCGGGATCAGGCCACCTGGTGACCCCCGGCCTTGGGAGACGAGGGCAGGGCGCAGTTTCAGCAGAGTCCCTGGCCCAGGGGAGAGAAGGACAAGGTCAGGGGTCAGAGGTCAAGAGGCCAGCAGGCTCCAGGGTCCTTGGACGGGCTGGTCCGTCCAGGCCAGCCATCACCTCTCCAGGAAAAATTTGAGAGCCCGGTCGATGTTCATGCGGTGGCCCACCCTGGTCACACCCAGATCGACATAATCCTCCTTGGTCAAGGCGGGCAGGTGGGAGCCGTCGATCTCGTGGTCCAGGAAGCGGGCCCGGTGCTCCGCCAAGCCCAGCCACTCGAGCCAATCAGCCACGTCGAACTTGGTCCAGAAGCCCAGAGGTTTAGCGCCGAACGGCTTGTCCGGGGGCAGCGAAAGCAGGCGGGTCGGTGAGAGGGACCGGGAGGCCCCTGACAAGGCTCCACCAAGCCCCCCGGACATCCCGGGGTGCGGCGGCACAAAGACAGGGGCGAAGGGGTCGGCCGAGCCTCCTGCCCCTCCGGTGGGGGAGCCGCGGATGTCAAAGAGGCCCGGATAGAGGGGTCCGGAAGGCAGGATGGGCAGGGACGAGGGCCGGGGCGCAGGGCTGACCTTGTGTTCAGAGGCCGGCAGCAGCGAGGGGCTGGGGGCCCGGCGGAGCAGAGGCGGCCGCATCTCGAACTCCACGCCCTGGAGGTGGCGGGTGGACGTGGAGGAGGCGGCCGAGGGTGAGGTGGCCCCCGGGGCCGCAGCGGCTGACGGGGAGACCCCGGTTCCCGTGGGGAGTGGTGGCAAGGGCGGTTTGGGCCAGTTCTGGAACAGGCTGCTGACGGGTTTGGAGAGGATCGAGGACTGGGAGTCTTCGGAGAGTCTGGAATGTGACAAGGGGGCGGGGGTGGGGGAGAGGTTTGGGGGGGCAAGGGCGGGATGACAAAGAGGCAGAGGTCAAGATATAGGGAGAGAGGAAGAGAGACGGGGGTCGGGGGGGGGGGGGAGAGATGGAGGAGAGAGATGGGAAGAGATAGGAGGAGCGAGGGGGGTCAGATGGATGTGAGGACAGAAATGAAGGGAGAAAAAATGAGAGGACAGGGAGAGGGTGACAGTCAAGAGAGATGAAAGAAAAAGAAACATTAAGTGATAATAATATTAATCGCCACCACTTACTGATGCTCACGTGTGCCAGGCATTGTTCCAAGTGCTTTACATGATCGCATCTCAATTTAATCCCCACGACAGCCCTGATGCAGGTTACTATTATTATCATCAGCAGCAGCACAGAGAGGTTAAGTAACTTGCCTAAGGACACACAGCCAGGAAGTGGCAGAGCCCAGTTAAATAGCACCAAAGTCTGAGCTCTTAACCACTACTCTATACTGCCTGTCGGGTTATGGCCAGTCATAGCAGAGTGGAAGACACGGAGACGGTGAGAGAGGAACAAAAAGAGAGTGAGCATTCCAGGGAGAGAGATGGAAGGGGACAGGGAACAAAGAGAGAGAGAGAGAGATGAGGAGAGGGAGATGAAAAAGAGAAGAAACAAGGGGAGAAAAAGGTTCCCCTCATCCCTTTAGCTCCCTCCAGAACAGTCCTGCCTCAGGGCCTTTGGACTGACTGTTCCCTCTGCCTAGCTGACTCTTCCCCCATGTACCCTCCTCCAGTCTCTGCTCACCTTGCTGGTTATTTGAGAGACCTTCTCTAACCATCCCATTATTGCATTTTCCCCCCTAGGATGACTGCAATTATTTTGTTTCCTGTCTGGCCCTCACCCCTACCTCATTAGACCATGAGATCTCTGAGGGCAGCGTTTTGCCTGCCTCGTCCACTGTGGGGTCCCTCTCACCCAGAAGGGCACGCAGCATATAGCAGGTGATCAATTAATAACTGGTGCATCTGTGGACTAAGTTAAGTCTCCTCTCCTCTCCCCGGAATACTTAGGAATAATCAAGGAGTTGCCTTAAGATCTCAAAGGCCTGATAAAACCGCATTTGAAGATCAACCACAAGAACTTGAGACCCTCAAACAGAATTAGAACGAGCTCTGCAGATGAAGGGGATGAAAAAAGCTCTCCCCACTCTCTGCGTGTCTGAATCAGGAATGTGAGTCTGCTTTCTTTAAGACTAAAAGATCTTGAATGAGCTCGAACTTCGCAGCGATCCCAGCTCGCTGGCTGCTTTGAGAAACTTCTGTGTCTTCCCCTATTTCCCTATCTATACTCCCTGGGCTTTTGTCAGAGGCCTCTCCCCTCCTCCATGTCATACAACGGCCCACATTTAATCCTCTCCAAAACCCTTTCAGGTGGGTCCTATGCTGTCCCCCTTCTACAGAGAGGTGGATTCCTTTGCCTAAGGCCGCCCAGTTAGAAAGTGCAGGGCTGGGACGGGGCCCCAAGAAGCCCGGCTCCAGAACCAGGCTCATAACCTCTGTGCCCTAGAGCATCTCGTCTTCAGCCACAGTGGGTTCAAGGGACTCGGAGATTCCAGGGACTGTCAGAACTGACACCCCACCAAGGAGACAGACATCAGCAAGCTGTGCTTCAGGCTCCTTTGTTAATAACTCTTTTTCTTCATCATGGGGTGTGGGTTGCCATGGTGATGGGAAGACACCACCAAAGCTACTGAGATAACGGGAAGTTTAAAGTATCTTCAAAACCATGCTTCCTGGAGAACAAACTTCTGCAAGCCAGCCTGGTGTCTGTTTTCTTTCTGCCACCTGGCACCCTAAAGGGACACAGCTATGGGGAAGGCGGATGCTGGTACCCACAGCACCCGCGCCTCTGGCCTCCACTGCCAACCGCCAGCCCCTGCTCACCTCTGCCGCTGCAGGGAAGAGGTCCTCTCGGGGACGTAGGTGGGTCCCCCGTGGTGGCTGTCCCCGCTTGCCCCGCTGCCTCCCCGGGCCCATGGCAGAGCGCCCCCAGCTGCCGAGGAACCCCCAAACTGCTGAAGCTTGGAGCTGAGTTCACTGATGATGCTGGCTTTTACTGTGGCCAAGGCTGAGGCCTGAGGCTGGGCCAGGGGCCCGGGCAGGGGTGGTGGCGGTGGGCCTGGGCCTTCCTCCCAGGGCAGCAGCTTCCGAGGCAGGGAGGACGCCGACGGCAAGGGCACCGGTGGGCCTTCTGGCTCGACAGCCACCGGACCCCCGGCCACACCCACCGTCGAGGGTCCCGAGCAACCACTCAGGGCCAGCAACCCATCAGTTCCAGCCCCTGTCACGGAGACGGTGGGACTGGTGGGAGTGACAGGGTCTCGGAGTCCCCCGCTGGGGCTGGGCCGCAGGCCTCCGCTGGCCCCCAGCGCCCGGCCCCGGAGCTTAGAAGGAGTCATGAGCTGCGGGGGATAGGGGGGGCCGGGAGGACCGCTCCCTCCGAAGGCCTGGCCGTCCAGGTAGGCCACATACGTGTCCAGAAGCTCCGGCCCACTGGCCACACCGGCCCCACCGCCGGGGCCACCGCCCCCTGCGGGGCCAGCGCCTTCGGCAGACAGGCTGCTCAGAGTGGACGCGCTGCTGATCGTCTCCAGAGGGTGGTCACTGCTACTCCGACTGTCTACCTCCTCAATACCAGAATCCGTGCCAGGCGGAGGGTCTGGGCCAGGCTGTGGCGCGGGGGGAGCCGGGGCGGCCGGGGCCGGTGGACCTGGCGGAGGGGGGTCCCCAGAAGCGGCGGGGGCGCCCTGGGTTAGCGTGGCCACCTCACTGTCATAGGAAGTCAGGCTGGAGGCGGTGGAGTCCAGGGTGGGCGGGGCGGCGGCGACGGCAGGGGGTGGCACAGGGGGCAACGGGGTGGTCGGGGTCGGTGGGTCCGGCAGCGGGTGGGGGGGCCCCGGCGTGAGGGGTGACTCGGGCTTCTCGAAGCTGTTGGAGAACTCCAGGGGCGGGGGCAGTGGCTCCACGAAGAGGAATTCGCCATCTTCCACATCCACCGAGGGGGCGGGGGGCGGCAGGACTAGGAGGGGCAGCCCGTTCTCTTCACTGCCCCGCGGAGAGGTCGGCGAGGGGGGCACGGACCGGCGTGGGCTGGGCGGCGGGACCCCCGGCCCGTCCTCCGAGGGGGGGCCCCTTCCACCCGCCCCACTGGCCCGGGGCTGGCAGTTCTCGAGGAACCGCACGTGGAGGGGCAGGCGCTCGGGCTCCTCGGGGGCCCCGGCCCTCCAGGCCTTGCTCACCCCGGGGTGCGGGGCGGGGGGCTCGGGCCCCAGCTGCAGCAGGAGGGGCCCGACCCCAGGGGCGGTGGGGGGCAGGCGGTGCAGCAAGGAGCGTCGGGCAGCCGGCGGGCTGGCCGGGAGCGACTTCTCCTGGCTGCCCAGCCCCGCCCGGTACCCCAGCTCCCGGCGGGCGGGGTCGGGTGGGGGAGCCCCCCAGAGGCGCAGCACGGGCTCATGGTGGGCGTGGGGCGAGTGGTGGTGCGGCGTGGGCGGCGGGGCCTCGTAGCGGGGCGACGGGGGCCTTGGAGGGGGCTGGGGGGCGCCACCGCCCTCCGAGGACTCCTTCAGCGCGCGCTCTCGGGCGGCCAGGGCCAGCCCGAGCGGGGAGGCGGGGTCCAGGGCCTTGCCGGTCAGCGGGTGGACCAGGGGGCGCGGCGGCAGGAAGCTGGTGAAGGCGCTGCTGCCCGCGCCGGCCGCGTAGGCGCGGCCCCCGGCTCCGTAGCCCCCGTAGCCGCCAGCACTCGCGGCGGCCGCAGGCTCCAGCCGCAGGTAGGGCTCGGCGGAGAACATGCCCTCGTCGATGGACTTGGAGTGGCGCAGCCGGGGGCCCGGGGGCGCCCCCGCGCCCAGCGCGCCGTCGCCGCCCTCGTCGTCCCCCGCGTCGGTGGAGAGGAAGAGCGTGGAGCGCCGGCGCGCCTCGTTCTGCCAGCCCCCCTCTCTGCGGGCCGCGCCCACCAGGGCCGCCCCGAACTGGCTGGTGAAGTCGAGGGTGGCCGGGCCGCTGGGCGACGCGGGGGTGGGCACGGGCGACGGGGACGGCGGCACGGGCGACAGGGCC